AAGAGCATGACTTGTTAATTATACTAGCTTGGATGATGGCGAAACGAATAGAAATGTATTAAATCTGAATCAGATTTTGATGGAATACAAGTCAACAATATTAAAGAACTAGGATAAAATTACTTAGTTGATTTAAGATGAAAAATGAAGCTTAAATAAGAAAAAATAAGAATAGCAAATTTATAATAAGAAATCAATACATAAATGTATAGTGTCATTCAGGTATATTCAATACAAACTATAATAGCTTGCAGTCTGCTGAAGAGAAATTGAGAGAATGGAACATACTTTTTAATTAGAACATGCAAAGGTTTCTCCTTACTTACACAAGGACTTATTAGAATGGATGATAAAAATTGTCAATATATTAAAGATGTTTTGTATTTTATAAGAAGCGCAGTTTGTTACTCTAAGACATATTGTACAGGACTTACCTATTAAATATTGTTAAGACACATCAAATATACTTTATATTATAAATTAATTTTTTCATAGTAGTATATGCAATACTAGAAAATTATTGTGAATTAGAAAGATTCGCAGAGAATAAATCCAGAAATAATGCAGGCACCAAATCTTACGCTAGAATACTATGGCAATGGGCTCCGGAAGAGGTGTGCTCATCTAGGTCTCTGAAAATAAGACCAAGTTGCGAAAAAAACAGATTACATGTGGACAAGTAATGGTGTTTGCCGACGATAAACAAAGACGAACGACAAAATTTAATACTAGTAGCACTTATGGCTTACGAAAAAGATAATGATGGAAAGCTCATCGAGGCTGATTTAATACAAAACATAAGTTAGCGTATGCACGATTCATTAGCTGAGTTAGAATATGAATAATATTTAAATTAGCATAGATTGGCGAAGTAGTTTTATCCGAAACAAATATAAAAGATAAACGGTGCTTACATTATCGTTGAGTATGAAACCAGCAATATAAGTGATAGCCACGACAAAGTAACAAGCAGAGAGAAAGATGATTGGTCGCTCCGGATACTGGAAGCGTGCAGTGTCAATAAGGAAAGTAAGTACAGTGAAAAGAGTAGATGCAGCACAAAGACAGCTCCAAAGGCCTATCCAGAGGCGCGCAAACCGACGCGACGCAGGGTCACTAAAGTAATAGCTGTCGCAGGGGATCCCGCAGTTAGGAATTGTCACTGAATCCCCAAGACGGATGCGAAATTCGTAGCTGGGAGGAACCTTTTAAGACATAAATAAAAGAGAAAGTACATAAAAACAAGAATAATCTCTATCAAATTGGAAATTTAACTTAAGCCTAAAGTAGTTCCGTTGAATGTATGAAAGTGAATGAAGAGATTCGAAGGTTGATCTCAT